CCCAGTGTGAACTCTTTCATGTATTTTGCAGTCATTGTACCTACTGAAAGCTTTCCCACATTGTTTACATACATAGGGTTTCTCCCCAGTGTGAATTCTTTCATGAGTTCGACAATGAGTGCTTCTGCTGAAAGCTTTCCCACATTGCTTACATACATAGGGTTTCTCTCCAGTGTGAACACTTTGATGCGATCGACAATCACGTTGTGTGCTGAAAGCTGTCCCACACTGCGTACATACATAGGGTTTCTCCCCACTGTGAAGTCTTTCATGCATTTGACAAGAACTGCGTGTGGTGAAAGCTTTTCCACATTGTTTACATACATAGGGTTTCTCTCCAGAGTGAAGACTTTCATGTATTTGACAACATCCACGTGTGATAAAAGCTTTCCCACATTGTTTACATACATAGGGCTTCTGCCCTGTGTGAAGTCTTTCATGTATTTTATAATATGCATGTGTAGTGAAAGCTTTCCCACATTGTTTACACACATAGGGTTTCTCTCCAGTGTGAGTTCTTTCATGACGATGACGATCACTATGTCTACTGAAAGCTTTCCCACACTGTTTACAAACATAGGGTTTCTCCCCAGTGTGAAGTCTTTCATGTATTTTATAATATCCATGTGTGGCAAAAGCTTTCCCACACTGTTTACATACATAGGGTTTCTCTCCAATGTGAGTTCTTTCATGACGTTGACAATGACTGTTTCTGCTGAAAGCTTTTCCACATTGCTTACAGACATAGGGTTTCCCCTCAGTGTGATTTATTTCAAGGATCTGAACATTGTTGTGTGTGTCTTTGTGTTTTATGTACACATTAACATCTTCAGTACCAGGGAATATTTCTTCACATTGATTCCAAGCTGTATACTGATAGCATTTTCCTACCTCTTCATTTCTGTAAAGAAAAAAAAAAAATCATAATAAAATGGGTCTCCAAAACAATGTGTTATCAGAACAAGTTCTACTTTTATGCCTGCTAATAAACTGTGACAAGGAATTAACTGAACAACTTGCAAGATATGTTCAAAACAGTTACTCCCAAGAGTGGTGTTCATTTGGGAATTTTATTTTATTTTACTTTTTCTTTTTGTGGCCAGATCAGTCCACCCTCTGGGCAGGGCTGGTGTGGAATGTGGTGCCAGGGATTGAACCATGGTCACTGCATTTGCCTAAACTTGACTAAGCAGGTGCTTTAGACTGCTGAGCTATCTCACCAGCCCTCATTTGGGAATTTTAATTTTCATATTTCATTTTAGAGACAGGGTCTCACTGAGAAGTTTAGGGTGGTCTAAAACTCACTATGTAGCCCAAACTGGCCTTGAAGATGGGACAATCTTCCTGTCTCAGACTTCTGAGTGCTAGCATTATAGACACAAGACACCAGGCCAGAATCATTTGGGAATTTTAAAGCTGGTATATTTTGAAATACAGAATTTTTAGATTCATTTTTAGCAACTGATACAGGTGTGTATCAAATATTGTTCATTGTGATATCTTTTCCCACATCACTCTCTCTGTTCTCTGATTTTGCATCTCCAAGTCAGTCTTTCCTTTCTCTGCTATGTCTCCTTTATTTTACTCTCAAGTTTATATTTTGGTTTCTCATATGAGACAGAAACTGTATGATATTTCATATTTTTGGCTGTATTATTTCACTTAAAATTATGGGAGGATGACCCATCAATTTCTTTTGACAAATGACATGATATTTGGAGGTTTTTTGCTTTTGTTTTTTTTTTCTGATTATATAGCACATTTCCTTTTTCTTATCATGCTAGGAAAGCAACACACAATCTCCAGCTTTTTAATCTCTTTTCACAGACTATCAATGATCATTAAGTTGTAGAAGCTGAGCTTCAATGTGCATTCTGCAAAATCTGCTTACCAGAATGCAGGGTATACAAGAACGCACAACCACACAGAGCCTATCAACAATTTTCCTTATGTGTACATTCAGCGATACATATAAAAGCAGGTTCAGAGGCTTAAATGCTATAAACAGGCCTGCTTTGATTATAGGAATGCATGAATCTATATACGAGTTTGATTCTTTTCAGAATATATCCAGGATAAGAATGCCTGGAATAACTTTAAAAGACCTCTATGCAATTACCATCACACTGACTGTACTTTACATTCTATCATCCTTGTAAAAGGTTAAAGTAGAATGGACTCAATTCTGTATAGAATGGCTTGAAAGCACACACTGACTCAACTTGAAAAACAGTCCTCTTCCTTGTGAGTGCAAATTACCTCATATATCTCCAATAATCTTTATGTTCTTTTCCACCTCCGTGTTTATTCCCAGCTCTTCCTGAAATGTAGCCATACAAATATAAGGACTTATTATATTAATGCATAAAAATTAATATATTTCAACTAGATTCATGATATAGTAAAACTAATAGCCCAAGATATTCTTCAAAATGTTTTTACATTGTTAATGAAACAACAGTGATAACCAACAAACACTATTTTCTGATTATATAAGTGAGAAAGAGTTGTCACCCTTACCTAGAGCAGCCATGTTCCTAAAGGTTTCCCCCATCACATCTCTGTAGAGCTTCTTTTGAGATGGATTCAGCAAAGCCCACTCCTCTATGGTGAAGTTCAAAGCCACATCCTCAAAGGTCACTGCCGCCTAAATGATTATACACATATTTTTCAAAGGAAAGTTGAAATTCACACATGGGATATCTTAACTTCTCTTACAAAAAGTTGAATTGACAGCCACATTCGGCGGTGCATGTCTGTAATGCTAGCATTCAGGAGGCTGAGGCAGCAGGACGACTGTGAGTTCAAGATCAGAGTGGGCTGAACAGTAAGGTCAAAGTCAGGCTGAACAACGAAGTGAAAGCCTGTCTCAATAAAATAACAACAACAAAAACTGAACAGAGGCTGAATTTTTCAAATGTCTTGGTCATCAATTATTGTATACACACATAGCAATTCTAATGCAACTCATTGCTAATTCAACAGTAGGATAGGAACACTGTGTCTCATCAAGGCTACCTGTGTACTGTCTCTGAAGCACAGCTCACAGTGGAAGCCTAGGAGACCACCATCCACAAAGCACAGGAGCTGATGAGTATGTAATGAATCACTTCAATAGACCATAAGTAATATCTCTTTTTAAATCCTATTATTTGTGGCATTGAGACCTTTTTTATTTTTATTTTTATTTTTTATATATATTTAGTACAGGATCTACACAGTCTCACTACACAGATCGGACTCGTTAGTGATCCTGTTTTCAGCCTCCCAAGCACTAGGATTACAGGGGCACACCACCACACCCAGTTTCAATCTCCATCTCAGCAAGCCCATGGGGTGGGGCCAGCATGGCACGCCAGGTATCACACACCCTGGTCCCTGCATCTGCCTGCAAGATCTTCTTTCTTTGATTGTACTTATGCAGTGTTTTAACACTTGAAATCGGTTGCATAGAAAATATCACTGAACAATTATGGTGTATAGATAATAACTGAAATATGAATAGAAAATTTTATTGGAATAAGTCTATGAATTATGAAAACAGGCAAAGGCTGACAAATTATCTGACAGATCAGTGTCACTGACTGATGACCTTCAACTCAGACAAGAAATTCTAGGGTGGTATGAGGGGAAGATGAACTAAATGTATTATATGCATTGAAAACTAATACAACACAGGGTAATTAGGCCCAAAGAGAACATTTTCACCAGGTGTGGCGGTACATGCCTGCAACCACAGCACTTGAGAGGCTGATGCAGGAGAACTGCCTGGAGCTTTTGACCAGCCTCAGTTACATAGCTTTTTGAAGTACAAAGAGAAACCCTGACTGAACAAAACTTTTTCTTCAGAAGAAACTCAGGTATCTATCAGACTTAAAATAATACACTGAAATAAATGAAATATATGACATATAAACAGACAATTTATTTAGTGTGCATGCACTAGAAAGATTTTGTGCAGGAAGTAAAGGTCAATAACACAAATCTAAAAATATTGACTACAACATATCAAACTCAAGCAAAATACACAATAAATTACAAGAACCAAATGCTTTTTAGAAAATCAATAAGGAAAAATGCAAGTGTGGAAGCACACAATAAGGACACAGACTAAAGGGAGAAGGAAGAATCAATTTCTACTGTCCACACTTTATTTCCTTTCCTTCACAGTTTATTGAAACATACAGACTAGCAACTTCTGTTCAATGGGCAAAGAATACACTGTGCTATTGTTCCTGGGGAGAGATGTGATTCTATTCAAGTGAACTTGAATAATCCTGCATCGCGTGTTCAATGGTATGGATGAGAAAAGCACTTGGCTCTTGATCCAAATATCAACACTTGCGCCAAAAGAAAAACTTCTGTAGTGTCCTGCCAATCTATAATAATCACGTATAGAAAATTCCAAGGAAGGAAACCAAAAGAACATTTTTCGCAGAAACTCACACATGGTAAACTTAGGCAAAGTCACAAAAGTGGAAAAGCGGTCATCCACGGGGCTAGGGAGAGTTGAGGCAGGTAGGATATCAATCACCAAGATGTTCTCAAGTACTGCCCAAAGCCCAATGAACAATTACTTTGAATATTACTAGGTATTTACCTTATTAGTGTCAAATCTAACCAGCAACTTTGGGAACAAAAGTTATTGCAATATATTGCAGCATTAAGCCATCGTTAAGAAAGTAGAACTTAATCTATACCTGTTTAATACATGAAAAGATGAAATAATATTCACATACTGGGCAGCAATAAGTAAAGCAGCACAGTTGCAAACAAGAGACCCACAGACACCCAGGAGGCAGTGCTGAAACTATATATTTCCCATCAGGAGGACTGGTTAGAATGTCAGAGAAAGAGTAAACAGGTACCAGACCTGATCAATCTCTACACATCTGGGTTATGGTCCCAATGCTGTGCACACCTGGAAAGGACTGGAAGTGATTTTCATATTGATGAAGACAGATTACATAGAAACCTATGTGAAAAGACACACTGTTCTACTGACCAACAAAACGTGCAGAATAATTTGATATTATTCAAAGTTCTTCAAAATAATTCCAATGATCAGATGACATAAAAGGCAGTTCTCCGAAAAATAGCAATCCTTGATACGTTTGTGGTAGATTTTTGAAAATAGGATCACAACAGTGTCACTGCACTTTCGAGTCAGTGTCACAGGCAGAATCACTAAACTCAGAAGAATCTGGGTCCAAATAAGGACAAATAAATTTGTCTGAGGCATTGGACATATTTTTCTTTCTTTTTTTTTTTTGGACATATTTTTCTTTCATCTTGATTCCTTTATATAATACTGCCATATTGTACCAGGCTCTTCATTTACTAAACATTTATATTCCCTTTATGACATGTGTCCTAATTTAGGGTTTTTGCAAGAGGAAACAATTTAGTGCAGGTCACCTATTTTATAAGATTATTTATAATAGTCACCCAAAGAATCATATACAAAAAGTGCAGGAAATCTTTCCACACACTAAAGACCAGAGAATCCAGCTGAGTGTCTGAATCTCAGTAATGTCTTATAAGAGTCCAGCTGAAGATCAAGAATCCGTGACCATGCATTTTGTGAGACCAACTGGAGGCCCAGAGCCCATGCAATGTGTTATGCAGGCCCACTTTACAGATCTGTTCTGGGAAGGCCCAAAGGTCAGTGGTGGAAGTGAGAAATTCTATGTTAGCAGGATGAAGGAACTGTGCCAGCAGGCTGAGGGATCTGCATTGGAGCCAGGAAGCAATGCTCAAAGTAAGAACCACAGTGAGGTCCCAAGCTCCAGGAGATGAGCTGTGAACCATTTTCCCCTCCCGAACCAGGAAGTGATGCTCAAGTGAGGACCAGCGCTCCCTGAAAATGAGCCACAGACATTCTCAGCAACAGTGAGGTCCCAAGTTCTTCCTCTTAATGAGACTATCCAAATTTATCAGGAAAGTGAACATGATGTGGTCCTCTAGTCAAATAGGCCAAGAAAACCAGCAGCTGCCTAACAGCTTTCCACAACTTCTGCCAGCTCCTCACGCCCTCTCTTCTCTGGTTCTGCCTCTAATGCTGCTTGCAACATTCATTCCTCAGATGGGCCTTCCACACTTAGCACCATACTGATTTCACTGATTTCATTCAGCTGGATGTTACAAATTGACCACCAGTTGTCAATCCACCACAACATGGATTTATTTAGCTCACTAAAAATGTCTACATATATTTTGAGAAAGTCTGTCCCATGAAGCTAAGTGCCCCCTTTACTTTTCTGCCCACTGCCAACCTTAGTCCTTTATTACATTCTATTCTGACCTTATCTTATGTAAAATTCACAAAGAAATCAGAACTGTAGAGAGTTATCTTAATCAAAAAGCCAGAATAATATTTGCAGTCTAGTTTTGCACTCAATCACTTCTCTGCAAAAGACAGAAATAAGCAAGATCTTTTTTTTTTTTTTTTTCTATTTTATGTCTTTAGGACAGGATCTACAGGGTCTACAAAGTGTCACTACATAGATCGGACTCATAGTGATTCTCCTATTTTTAGCCTTCCAAGTGCTGGGATTACAGGTGCGCACTACCACACCCAGTCTCAATCACCTTCTCAGTGCACCCCTGGGGCAGGGCCAGCATGGCATGCCGGGGATCGAACCCTGGCTGCTGCATTTTGCCTAAGCAGGCACGTTAGTCCACTGAGCTATCTGGCTAGCCCTAAAATAGGTAAGATCTTAATGGAGTGAATTCTGCACATTTTTTCCCTTCTTAGAGACTGAAAGCTTCTCTCTTTCAACATTAATTTCCCCACAGAAAAGGTTGAACCTGGAGTCATGTGATTAGACTTACTGTCAAATTTATTGGTCTGAAAAATGCCTCGGTTATTATTAGTAAATCACATGTTTGGGGATGTTTTGTAAGGAAAAGGGACATGATCTTAGAGATTGCCTTTGACTCAATGCCCATTCATCTCCTGTTCTTTTCTTATTCAATAATTTCCACTGAAATGTTAAAGAATTGGTTCTGGAAACCTCAAGGGGTTGGAAAGCAATATTCAAAAGCAATGGCAAATTCCACAGCTCCTCCACAGAACAGAAAAACTCCCTTCCCTTATTCTTCCATCTTGGGTACAAGTTTATTAGTTGGTGCCAACCCCATGTAGGGTTGGTTTTTCCTCTTATTTGCGGCCTACAAACCTGCATTCCACACACATTTTTGGTAATTTGGTGATGTTTCCTACTTCTCAAAGGTACATACCGGAATTACTGATTATAAAAGCCTAAATGAGTCATTATTCCTCTAAGTAGCCCCTGAAGAAACATTTCCCTAACCTGAATTCAGCAAATGTTTGCAAGTAAAAAAGCAAACATTTTTCAGACAAAGCCCTATGGCAATGAGTCATTCCACAGAGGAACCATCCCCCAAACAATCTGTACACAAGATACCTGCTTTCCCACACTCTGCAGCTTGTCATAGTCAAGAGTCGCAATGCTGAACATGGATTTAATCCGGAGAGTAATTTTTCTTATGGAAAAAAAAAGATGCTAGAAATTCGTTTATAAATAGCAAGAGTTATAGAAAACTATGAACTAAATGTAAATCATCCACTTTTTTCCTGAAAATTTGTTTCTCCCTATAGATTCCATTGGAAAAGGGTGGGCC